GTTGAACAACAGGACGTGATGTTGGCAAGTGGGGCTGATAGATCTGGGAAGCTGCAAGGCAATCGATCGTATCGGCAAGGGTAGAGAGACGGAATAAGGCGTGCTGACTTTGGGGCTGAGTTGCGATGATGGGTAAATTGTAGTAAGCAAGTGGTGGAGTTTGTCGACTTCGATGCCGTCTATCCAAGTCATGCATGCGGACTTATATAGATCAGGCGGCCGCATGGAAGGCTGGGACTCGCTGCAGTGGAGAAGACGAAGGGCCAGGGCGTGTTCGGTAGACTGGACTGCTGACCGCTCTGTCTTGCTCATCGTCGTAGGCTTTCAAGCCACTGTTACTCTTGCCCGGTGGAGGCGTCGCTAGGGAGGTTGATCGGTCATTGGAGCGTTCCTGACTATGGAGCGCCATTCCGTCCCAGCTTGTGTCGTGACCAGCTGTCAGAATTTCCTCGTTTGAGCCGAATATGTTTGTTGATGGCACGGTTGCTTCCGACGGGCTGCGCTGGTGGTTGCTGCATATAATGCATCGTGAAGAATATGTGAGAAGCGGTCCGACCCCGGGTGTTGCTGCTTCTGTAAGGTACCTAGGTACATAGGTACATCTCACTTGCCTGCAAACCCGGTTTGCGGATCGATGCTCGAGATTCGCACCATGTGTGCGGCCGCATTGGACCAGGGACCGGGATCAACATAGCGCGTGGCGTAGCTTAACTAGAAGGGGATGTGTTAGATTGCTTTGCTGAGTTCTCCGACTGTTACTGGCAAGTTGCAGCTTTTGTGCGAACTCGCTTGTAACGAGAAGTGGTCGTAGGTGTGTGATGGAGCTTCCTCCATCACATGCTATTTGTTGATACGACCTCTACTTGGGAAGATACGCCGATTTAGTGTAACAGATTGAAGCTTGTGAGCATTTCTTGGAGGTCGTAGACGTGCTGTTGGGGATGAGTGGGTCCAGGGTGGTGCTGCACATCAGTCGATGGTCGTAGGCCCTTGTGCGGCCCAACAGCATTCGAGCTACCACCAAGCGGAAAAATACGTCGAAATCTGACAGGCGCCTTACATGGCTGCGTCAGGCGCCCCTTGGGTACAGACTGGCTAAAAACGCCACAGTTCTACCAAACGAGGCGGAGCTTAGTCAAGATTGTTGGTGGAGGAACGTCGATATTCTTAGTGACACGGTCGCACTAGAAGATTGCGCCATTGGTCGTTCAAACGCTAAGTTTCGACCAACGGCAATACAGATGTGCGTGTAATTGTGGAAGAAACACAACGCGCCAGTCACGTTGTGGCCTCGTTGCATTAGCTTTGCCGTCTTGGGCGGCTATGCTTTGGTGTGCAGGGATTGGTTAGCCCGACGCGAGTTTGAGAAAAAGATGCCCGCATCGTTGCGCAGTATCTTGTGTAGCTTGCTGTGCAGCTTTGAGTGCGTTGGAGAAATGGCTTACCTAGAAGAGAAATGTTTTGGTAGTATCACAATCGCAACGGTACTTCGTCCAGGTCAGAATCGGTCGCGGAGCAAGCGCAGCAAAGGTGTAGCTCTAGATTGATCGTGACACCAAACATGTTGGCCTTCGTGGATCTACCTCAGCGTTTCATGTAGATGACTTGAAGAGTGGGAAACCGAACAGGATAGTTTTGGGGACAATTTAGGTCGTGAATAGGTAGAAGGAGTGTACGCTATGCCAGACGCCCCGAGCATCTCCGGTCTTTGGAAGTGATGAGATTCTAGCATAGATCTCGGGGCTTGAGGTTCACAAGTCCACGTCGTCCCATATTGGCCATTCAGTCCCTTCAATAAGAGCCACACCGGTGACAGCGAGCTATCACTGTTTGGTAGCAACGCCAGCGGGATCAGCGGGATCAGTCTTATCTGAGCGCATGAGATAGGCCATTACACCCCAGATGCCCCTCATCGCCTCAGTACGGTCATCAACGTTAAACAGATCAAACCATCTTGTTCTTTGGAGCTTTGGGGAAAACCAGTCGGAGTCTGTTGGCGCTTCTTTGGGCAGTCTACCTTCGGTGATGTACTCAAGATAAGCCGGATGTATGCGTAGCTTTAACAGGCTGATGTGGTGGTTCAATGACGATACCATGAAGACCTAGATTGTCGGATCAGCGGAATGAGCTTCCTAGAGCTGTAGTACGAAGCCCTACATCGTCCCACTCAACACTCTTGTCTTTGCCGATGGCCTTGTAGGTCACTTTTGGATCCCACAGTGGGTTTCCAGGTCGCAACGTTTTCCAAATCTCTGCTGGTGACGGCCTGCGGCGAGCCTTGGATCCGTCACGATTTCTGTCGGTGGGCTTTGCTTCAGGTTTGGACGCTGCATCTTTAGACAGTATCTCGATCGCCCCAGTTGTTTCGCCAACCTCCCCTCCGGGTCCTCCACCCCACCGCTCTTTCGTTGTCCACCATCTATCCTCGCCGCCTCTTCGTTCCTCTTTCCCCTCTCTAGCTCTCTCTTGTGCCAGCAACAGCAACCCACCTAACTCGCGCACAGCATCAAGATTAGATTGCTTCTTCAGGTTTCCTGTCAGTCCAAAGCCAACGTCTGCCCTGCATTGTACCCCCAATACCGGACCTTCCATATAGCCATGCCTGGCCTTAACCCTATCTTGAGGTGCTTGCCAAGCGACGGAGCTCATGCGAACAGGAAATCTAATGTGCTCAATTGTGAGGACGGGAGGACGGCGGTGTGGTGAGAGTGTCACACCAAAAGCCCATGCAATCGGCTCTATGAAAGCACGCACGCAATCAATGCGGTACTGATCAGGCATCTCGGCACCACTCCCGATACGATAGCCTCGGTAAGACCCGTTTGAGAGATCAACTACCTTGTTCTGAGACTCCATATTCACAGCCCAGGGGGCCTTGGGTGGTGCAGCCCGAGCTGGTAGTATGCGGTTTGGAGTATTTGACGGCACACGTGCACTCACTGGTGCGGCGCTGGAGCCATTGGCGCCTTGGACCTCGGCTGGTCGCTGTCCACTTTCAGCATCTTCAACCTTGGCCTTCTTGCGAGGTTCCTCTTCTTCAGGCGTGCGAGACCCTGGCCTCGCTGTGGATATTCGATTCGAATCAGTTTCACGTTTGGCGTCCTGACATTGGGCATCTGTGGACTCTTGCGGGGAGCTTGAAACCACTGCCACTCCGCTAGCACTGCCAGCTTCTTGCACTGGCGGAAGATATTCGTCTAGTGAGGTATCCCAGTAATAAGCCAAGTTGTCAAGACCTTCCCAGAACTTTCGGAAATGCGCTAGTCGAAGCTGTGGTTGATCTCCAACACTCTTGCGCGTGAGTGTTGAGTAAGCATCAGCATTCTTGAAGAACAGTTCTCTCGCTCGGACATAGAACTCTCTCTGATCTGGTATCCTTCTGCCATTGCTCAAGAGTGTGGCCGGGGTATCAGGACTGGTTGCGGCGTCGTTCTCTCCCGGTGATTCTAACCAGGAGGTTGGGGGCAGGAATGACTCTGCGTTGTTTGGCAAGGATGACAATAATGTTTCCAAGTCACATTGGGGCTGGAACGTGACATTCAACAAGGCCAAGGTCTCTTCACTCACATCAGACGGCTTCTTGAGTCGCAAAAAGTGCTCTGATATCCTTGCTCCTGGTTGGGTCCAGGTGGCTGGCAACGTGTTTATTGACGGCTCGGGCGGCTCAAGGGAAGGAAACTTGACGGGTGTCGGTTTCGAGGGTGGCGACCTCTGTTTCTGCGTATCATGCTGCCCCGCAAGTAGGTTGCCTATGAACAATTTGTCCTATATCAGCAACAATATTGCACGTGCGCCGCACGTCTCAGACGAAACATGTGTGGAATATATACCCACTTGACTGACAGAAGCATGCCAAGTAGCTACCACAACAAGCAGCTGAACCCGAGAAGAAAGAAAACATGTATGCGAATTTGGAAGGCCATTTCAGATGCCATGGTAAACCAAGCTTCGGGATGATGTTATTGGCGTAGACTCCCGAGGTCCACTTCGAGCGGGCAGACAAGACCTCTGCGCGAGACGAAGAGACGACAGCGCTCAACCAAGAGCAAACCAATGAGAAGAATACTCACCGCTGAAGCTGAACATTATCGCAGGGTCGTGGTACGAGGACCGTGATGCTTAGGGGCGTGATGGAATCGGCGATGGATGTCGAAGTCGAGCGAGGGCCGCGGATCTTCAAACCGGACGTGCGCACCCAACGCAACAACGTCTCCACACCCACGAGCGACTCTCTGCTAGAGCTTTGCGCGAGCATGCAATATGATATTGATGCATTATATCACACTTCAGGAAAACCAGACATGAGTATTGTGACAGTTCCTCTCCGCAAGCCACGCGCGGCGTAGCCACCTAAACTCTAAGAGCACGTTCATGCATTGCCCCGAAGGCGACTGTCAAGTGGTGCCACTGGGGCCAAATGAATCATGGGATGACAAGGCAGACTAGGAAGATGCCTCTCAGCGATTTGGAAGATGCGAGAGGTCGAATAGAAGTATTTTCCATCTTCGAGTTGCTTTTGGTGTTCAGTCACGTGCTGGGGACGCCTGCCCGCCAGGTGCGCAACACCAGCACCAGCCTCCAACACTCCATCTATCCAACCCCATCGCGCATCGTCACATATGTCATCGCGTCCGCGAGAATGGCTGCCAGAGTGCTTTGTCGGGCGGCACGGCAGTCGGTTGAGACGGCCAGGCCGGTGCCGCTCAAGTGTGCGAGGCTCAGCGCGCTTCATGTGCATTGTTCGAAGCGCGATGTGAAGCCGCCCGCGTTTCAGACGGATACAAGCGCACCATACTGTGCCAACGGTTGACTACCACCCGGACGTTCTTCGAACGCCTACTAACACCTCTCTTCGTTAACCATTCATTCAGCATCACGTAGCGGTAAACTCCAATTTCCCAGTTTAATATGCACAAAGCGTCCGCGGCGCCTTGTATCCTTTCTCTTCGTCTCTCCTTCTGAGCCCTTGTCGGCGTTTCTTTCCATGAGCTACTGCTCGCATGGCCACCCCTCAAGAGTCCATTACGACGGTAAACGGGAGACGATGCACTCGTTCTCGGGCCCGAACGGCCCTTACAACCTCGACGACTCCAGCAACATCCGCAGCCGCCGCCCCTCCCCAAGTCACTTCGTCCACGACCGTTGAGGCGGCACCCAAGATAGAGACCAGCACCAGCCAAGCACCTCCTCCGCCACCTCCTCCCTCTTCAACGGCACCGGCACCAGCGCCGACTACGTCTGCCCAACAGACAGCACAGCCGCCCCCCGCAGTGCCTACAACATCTACGACGGAAGCAGCAGCAACGTCCGCGATAGGTACGAGTAGCCCGGCCCCTACATCTTCGGAGCGGGTGACACCGCTGGCTCTCGCATCTTCAGCCCGTGCAACGGCAGCGGCTCAGAAGCAGCCAGAAACTCAAGCGGCACCGGAAGTGTCTTCCCCGGCCGCTGCTGTTCCTCTGGCTGTGTCTTCGCAAGCTGCTGCGGCTTCACAGGTTGCTGTGGCGGTGTCTTCGGCTCCGCCTCCGCCTCCAAGTCCCATACCAACAACTTCTGACACAGAACAAATAGCTGTTCCAACGTCACTCGTTGCATCTTCGCGCGCACCGGCTCGCTTCACAGCTCCGGCGATATCCGAAGGTGCCACATCGGACGCGAGCCCTCCGCTGGCGATAGAAACCGACACGAATGCACAACCGTCTGTGACAGAAGCGCCGGCTATCGCAGAACCACAGCCCACTACTTCGCTAGTAGATTCCACACCGACCGGAGGATCGGCTGGCATAATTGCACCGGAACAAGGAAACTCTGGCGACAACAGCCCGTTGACCTTTGCGAACGGTGGAAACATAGGAGGCATAATCGGGGGTGTCTTTGGCGGCGTAGCTGGATTGGCCTTGATTAGCGTATTGCTCTTCGTCTGCTTGCGAAAACGGAAGTCGCGGCCCGTGCGATGGAACGAGAAGCAAGAGTCAGGCCCAAGTTTCCTGGCTAGGTTGAAGACGATACCCAGCGGGGTGGGCGCATTTGTTGCCAGGATTAAAGGAAGCCAATCCGGCCCGATTAGCAATCCCTACCAACGACATGCTGCGCAAGCCAGCGTTGGTTCGGTATATTCGAGGGACTCCAATGGCAGAGGTCGATCAACCAGCGAGCCGCAAGGATTCTTCGGTGTCAAGCGCGCAGGTTCCAGCAACAGCATGTCAAGCAAGAAGAGCGAGAGGAATCTGCTCCGGAAGAAGCCGAGCAGCATCTCATCAAATTACCGATTTCCAGGAATCGTCGAAGACACAGGTTCGCCAAATCCCTTCGCCGACCCAAAAAGCACGCTCCTGGTACTCAACCCGGATCCTCGAAGCGCGCCTGTCACACCGCAGGTCCCTGTTGCTGCTGCCGACACGGAACCCAGAGATCCTTTCGCATCTATCCAGGACCCACCTGGAGCTGCGCCAGCTTGGGCTCAAGTACCGACTCATCATCATACACGTACTATAAGTTCAGTATCGGCCCTGAGCTCACATCCTGTGTCCTCGTTCTACACGTCCGACAACCCGTTCCGAGATCCACCTTATGCACCGCCTGCTCCCAGCCAGGCTGTTCTCCCAAGCCATACCCGCCGTTCATCAATGGCGTTACCAGGCTTCAACGCGTTATCGACCGTGGATGCAACCTCCACGTTCGCCTCTCGCGACTCTGATATGTTCTTCGGAGAACCAGGACCGAGCAGGCCCGCCACCAACTTCTTCACCCCAATGCCAACTGGTCGTACGGTCCGACAGTCCGATCCTTTCGACCTCGACCGACCTGAAGTTCTTGGCTTTACAAGCGTCTTCAACATCAACAGAAAAGAAGTGGCCGGAAACATCACGCGACAACCTACACGAAGTAAACGAACAAGTAGCGTCGGCAATTGGGGCAACGCAGCGCCAGACGCCAACAACTATGGACTGTTTCCGAGAGACAGCACAAAGCCACCACCATGGGGACCGAACGGCAGGAGATGACGACGGCCACACGAGGATACAATGTCGCAATGGAGGAACCTTTCGCGCACAGGACGCGTAAAGACATAATGAGCAACAACACGGACGGCGTCCCACGATCTTTTCTCTTGATGGCAGGAAGTATTCCGCGGGCTCCATCATATCTTGTATTCACCCACACACACACGTTCCCTCCCACTTTGAATATGCACTGAGCGAGCCATTTTCTGTAACATATATCCCCCCACTACAGATTTTCTTGTAGTTGTCGTAGCGTAGCATAGCGTAAAATATACCCCTCAATGAATACCATTACGTATACCAGTATCGACTGTTCTGAGGAAAGGTTGTTCCAAGTAGAGGAGATGATTAGTGATTGGCGCATTGATTGCGAGATGAAGTGATGTACGAGGTCGTACGATGGCGGGGACGGGTGGCGGTTGCCAAGGTGGGTTTGGAGTGTCAACCTGAGGCAAGAGCGTGAGACGCTAGGTATAAGGTTTGACTTGTGAGTGACAGAAGTGTACTAGATCACCTCACACGGTGAAAGAGCTAAACAGGTGCGCTGAAGTCTATATTACTACGAAAACATGAGTTTGAGAGATGAGGAGTCAAATTAGCCTTACTAAAAAGATTATATCTACCCTGTAGAGGTGATTGTCCAGCCTTTTCCCTGCATGGGAGGGTCTACAGAAAACGCTCAGGCCGTGAATCCGGATGATTTGAGTTACGTCGTTCCTGTCTGGTGCCAGGTAAGACATGTTGACGTAAGAGGCTGGAATGGGTAATCACTCTTTCTTGATGTAGCTGACCCCGCTTTAACAACCCTCAGCCAGCTTCTTCCTCTCGACAACAAGACGACTCTTCACTACAATACGCCTCTTCTCCTCCTGGACCCTCTCTTCAACAAATCTTCTCGATCGATCTTACGGCATGTTGCGCTTCTGGCTACTCCAGAATTAAGCTACCTCTGTCACTCCCGGCAGGCCTTCACTATGCTGTGCGAAGTATGTCTCAATATATTCCGAGGCTCATTTCCTAGAGGAGACCCTGAGGTTCCATTCCTCTGGGGAGACCCTAAGTATCATGGCTCCATTGAAAGCTTGCAGCGCTCCGCCCTCGAGCACTGTGACATCTGTCTTGTTTTCTGTGACGAAATCCCTAGCATGTCACTGCCAGGCTCGGAGAACATCCAATTCTCAACGACGTTCAAATTCCATCTCATTGAGAATACAAGCACCGGGAACCTGGAGTTTACAGCCAAAGTAGACCGTGACATACGATACTATAACTTCTTCTGCGAGCCCACAACCGGTACGCGCATATCGTCATGACCGAGTAAAATGTGCTGACATTGGGATCAGGATACGGCAGAAGTTTTGGTGCAGCGAAGCCATACGACTGTTCAGACTGGACTGCTAGCATGGAGTGTGCCAGAGCTTGGTTAGGCCAATGCATGGTATACCACAGCGACTGTCCAATAACTCCCTGGAGCAAGCGCACAATCATTGGAACATCGCACGCATTAGTCAAGCCCACCCCATACCGCCCAACGCGTCTCCTCGAGATCGGCGAGCCAGAAGCTACTAAAGTACGATTGCGATTATCATCTGAACTGGACAGCACGCTTTCACAATATGCAACACTTAGCCACTGCTGGGGGAAATCCAAAACACTCAGACTCACATCGGAATCGTTCCAACGCTTCAGAGATGGCGTAGCGGTCACTGACTTGGCAAAGACATTCCAGGATGCTATGCTCGTTGCGCAATCTATTGGTATCAAGCTGTTATGGATAGACACGTTCTGTATCTTCCAAGACTCTACAAAAGATTGGCAGCAAGAAGCAGGATCCATGAGTCAAGTTTATCGCAACAGCTTCCTTAACATCGCCGCCAGTATAGCTGTTGATAGCGATGTTGGCTTTCTTCACGAGAGAGCTTCGACTGTTGAGCCATGCACAGTTCAGACTGCATGGACCGATTTTCCAAACGGCAATTACTGTATTTACGATTGGCACTACTGGAACAGCAATTTCCGACGTATGCCTTTAAAACGTCGCGCATGGGTCTTTCAGGAGAATATTTTGGCCCCTAGAGTGCTTCATTTCTGTGGTACGCAGATGTTCTGGGAGTGTCACGGCCTGTTAGCCTGTGAGACCTGGCCTACCGGGCTACCAATACATATGTCGACGAATTCCCTAAAAGGACGGCAGTCTGCGAATTATGATATCTTTGGATCAAAGAGTACTTATTACAACGGACCTTCAGGTATCTCTGTGGCTGAATATCTCGCATTCAACAAATCTCGAATTGGGGGAGCGTGGATGCAGCTCGTCAAAGAGTACAATGCGTGCAACTTGACATTTCCAAGCGACAAATTGATTGCTTTGTCGGGTGTCGCAAAGTACATGGAGCGGCTTCTTGATATTGAGTACTGCGCAGGCCTCTGGAGTTTTGACCTCATCTCAGGATTAGCTTGGTCGAGAGAGAGAAATCTGGAGCCTGCGTTCCCCGAAATCCAAGAGCCCATCCCTTACCGGGCACCTTCGTGGTCATGGGCTTGTCTGGATGGCCCGATAAAGTCGCACGGGTATCAAAGAGAAGATAGACGTTTAGTCGATGTTGTCTCTTGCGACGTCGAGACCGCGACGAAGGACCGAACAGGTGCGGTCACTAGTGCTGTGATGAAATTATCCGGCTACCTGGCAACGATCAAGCTGCACCGCGACTTTGGGACGAAACAGCCATACCCAGCGACTGAGGGGAACTTCGAAATCTATTGTGACGGCAAGTGGAACAGCATGGGAGCCTGGGACTTCAACTTCGATCTTCGCCCTCCGACTTTTCAGTTACACTGCCTGTTTCTCTTCATTGACGAGTTCAGGATTATTTATGGTCTCCTACTCACGCCCACGAAAGTGACGCGCGGCCACTTCCGAAGGGTGGGGATGCTCCAAGATTTTCTCAAGGATAACACATCGTTGGATTTGAATCAGTTCTCACACTTCAAGAACGAGTCATGGTTGGAGTACGAATCCGTGGATGATGATGGGAAATACACGATCACAATCATATAGATACAACCTTCGTTCTGCGATACGATACTGCAGACGACACAGCGTCTTTCATTCTCCGCTATAAACTCTTCATTGCCTGCTGGCGACTACATGCATAGTATTGGGTAAGAACAATCTTTGCAAAGGTTCATGATATAAATACAGGAAATAAGACAGATCCTATGCCACCGTAGCTCAGCCGATTTTATTCATATGATCTCCGTTTTAGTTTCGTTATTGACATCGCAAAAGACGTATGCATCACTCTGCGTGACCGCCCACACCCAGCAGCCCGCTTTTATCTAATGAGACCAAGGCATGAAGGAGGTAGTGAAGTAGTCGTACCGCAGCTCTCTTTAAAATTCATGTAGATTGATCACTGTCAAACCGTACCATCCGGTGTTTTGTCGTTCTTCTTGGTGTCCTCTTCGTCCCCTTTCAACTCCGCGGAACATCTTGGGCTTTTTGGATTGTTTTGGAACGATTAATAGGAAGAGTCGCGGGGAAGAAGAGAGGCAAAGACATAGGATGTAGGGGTTTCTGTTTTAGTAGAGACGACGAAGACAGGCGGACACATCAGGGCGGATACCGGACTTTTTGGTCGCACGAGGCGAGAGTTGTAGATAAGAAAGAACAACTCGACAGGAGGAGAGGGGTATAAATACCCCAGAATCGTCGGGCGCGTCGGGTGTCGACAGCGGACTCGTCGCCAGAGTTCATCTTTTCATTTTGCTTAACTTTTGGCCGTAAGTCGTTGATAGTATCGTTTTGGTCGCCCTATCGAAGCCTGTCGTCGTGACATCTAAGCTGAAGGGCTTTCTCAAACGAGCGGTTCTGTCACATCGGAATGTATGTGGCCATTTTTAAAGAACGGGTAGGAGGAGGCCGACAGACATGTGGTCACAATCAATAAATTTTGGAGAACACTGCTCTTTGGTAGGGAAGTAAAGAGGGATAGAGATAAGGCCGCCAAAAGCTGGTTTTATACGCAACACTCTAGGCCCAAAGCTATTGAAAAGCTGTTACATATGTTTCTGTCGGTCACATTCAACCGTGCAGACAACCATTTGTGCAAGTTTTGTACTACCGATTTCGATACCAAATCTTCGTTTCTGGCGACGCGGAGGATCCATGCAAAGCGTGTATTGTTGTTTTGAGACATGCCGCCTTTCTCTCCTTATTTTGCAAAGGATCGAGTCGCCGAATCATGGACGTTGTTGTCTGCGTTTTCGTATTTTGGTGGAACGTAGTGTGGTGGTCGGAAAAAGAGAGGAAAGACAAAAGACACAGCACTTGTTTTATAGCACCGCTGAGAGTGTACAAAATCCATGATAGTCCCGTGTCGTAGATTTTAGTCTTGCCACGCAGATACCATGGTTGTGATGATAGTTGCTTTTCTCGCCGAAACTGTTTGACCTCATACCGATTTTTTGAGAAGAGGGACCCAGAAACATGTCGTAAGTGAATGAGTTTTTTTTTTGTTGAATAACGAGAACGAAAATGATACCAGGAAGAAGGGGGAGTAGCAGTCACAAGGAGCGCTTTATACTCTATGCCAACGTAATCTCGTGACTGCGTGCTCCAAGACACACGACAAGTAGTTTGGTACTCTGGAATAGATAGTTGGAGAGCATTTCGCTATGCTGTGTGAGTCTGAACACATGCGACCGAAGATTCCGCTTTTTACGGGACGAGCTCGCACGAACACATCGATAGCAACCAACAGCCTTTTAGTATGCAAAGCAGTGCGGTGATATCGAAGGAAAGAAGCAACCAGGTAGACTGAACCGTGTTTTAAATATCGTACTAGCGACTGCGCAGCCTCGAGAAGCACATGACGACATTTTGGATGACTTTGAAGCTCCGTCGGTACCCATGATGTTGCTCGGAGATAGATGCTGGTCTCAAGTACCATATGTCGGTGTATTCTTCGAGAGAAACCACGGGGGAAAGCCATAGCCTGTCTCTTGGAGCAATCTTGTAGTTTCGTAGTCACTATAGATTGGAACCAGGAGTATGAGGAAACAGCTTTCACAACCTTCAAATCTTTCGACCGTCGCACGCAGACAACATGAATATCTTGCCATTGTTTTTTCTTCTCGACGCGACGACAGACATGAACCGTGGTACAGCTGTTTTCTGGTATCCACGTACTGGTTTCAATACCATGTTTTTTGACACTCGTTTTAGCCGGGAGGGAAAGCGGATGGGTATCGTGTCGTGCAATATGTCGTCGAGTCAGTAGGTTTTGGAAACGAGGGAAAAGATCATCATTTCGTTAGCATGTAGTTTTTAGTTGTGTATAGCTGGAAGATTTGTGTTGAAGACGAGAAAGCAATCGTAGGAGTAGCTTTATACGTCTTTGCCTAGCGGCACCTTTCCCACTCACGGAAGCCATGGGCGTTGTTTGGGTACTATCTGGTACTCCAATCGATGCTCACAACATGTCGTTATGGTGAGTGATTTTGAACTGCCAGCCATGAACAAGTAGTTCCATCTTTTAGATTCGAGTAGACAGTGGAACATAATCGTGCCTTAGTATGTTTTGGAGAGCGGGCACATCGGCTTAGCGTTGTTGGTTTTTTCTTTTTGGTGCAGACCAGAAGATCATAATTTTTGATCTAGTCTTTTTTGGTAATACTTGTAGAAAGATGATGTAGAAGTCAGAGAGACCGGCGCTCGTGGAGCTTATGTACCTTTTTCCGCCAAGAGACGAAAGACATCATGTGTCTTGCCAGCAGTTCGTGCCATGTTCACCCGGAAGAGAGGGATCAATAACGACCATCACAAGGCATACAGGGTAAAGAACGAAATTTCCAAGTTGTTGCATCTTGCAGTCATTAACATTATTCTATGCTGTTTCTATTCGTCTTGATAGAACTCCAGAAGGATATCATCTTCATAATCTCCACATCATCCCCATCTATGCGATACCGAAGACCTTGGTAGGCGTGATGGTGAAGTTGAGAGGGTAGGTGACAAACTGGTTGTACCTAGCCTCATGGGTGCCGGAGAAGTTGTACGCAGGGCTATAACATCGTCAGTCTACATGCTCTCACAACCCCAAGATAGAGAACAAAACTTACCGGTCACCATACGCGCCATACTCAAAGCTAACCTCAATCTCCTTAGGTCCAAGACCCTGACCATCATGCACCCTCTCAGAGAGCCTAGCCGCAACACCGTTGTTGACACCCTCAAGCAGCTGGCAGTTCTCGTATGCAGAAGGAATCATGAAGCTCTGGTCGTAGCCCTGCTCGTAGCCGTGGCAGTATGCCTTGACGCCAGCGGGACCCTCGGGTACGCTCGGCACGGTGATGTTGAAGTTGTAGTAGCAGCCCTGGCGGGAGCAGCCGGCCTCCCAGTTCTCGACTTGCCAGGTCCAGCCTTCTGGGATGGCGATTTGGCGGGCGACGGGGCCGGCCATGGCGGTTGAGGCGAGGAGGGCGAGGGCGGTGAAGGAGACCATGGTTGCGGTTTGTGTGTGTGGGTTTGGTGGGTTTGGTGGGTTGGTATTAGATGTAGATAGGTGTGAGGCGTGAGTGTGTGAGGATGTGAGTACAGCAAAACGAAAGACGCGACGAAGACCTAATATACAATCCCCAATCTCATCAACACGAGCCCCCAACCCACGGCCAAAGGCATAGTCGTGCCGATTAATCAATCGCCAATACGGCTATTAGCCGTGCGGACGGAGAAAGTTTACTCGTTCGGGCATTTAGACGTCACTTTGCGCCGAGATCGCCAGCCGAGGATGCCCGTTACAGCATGACGCACTAACGCTCGACAAGGCTGTCCCCGTCCACTAACCACAACGCGCGCATCACGGTCCACCCGTGGCCTATATTTGGCGTCAACGTCTTATGCCCTTCTCCCACGATGCGAACAGTGTGCTCCTTCACCGTCTTCTAGGGTGAGATGGACGGACGATAAGATATTGGTTGCAGGCCATAGCTCGGATTGTGAGCTGATTAGGTGAGTGTGCCACCGCTATGCAGTTAGTCTACCAGTTTTGCCAGCATGGCCACAGTGGAGACGCTAGGTGCGCTCTCGTATTTCCCCATGATGGTGGTGCGAGGAACGTCATTTCTCGACCAGAAGTCTGTTTAGTTGCTGGTCGTTGTTACAGTCGCCACGGGGCTGAGGTAACATCATTTCTGGGCAGACCTCACCTGATCGTATTACTTCTGCGGCTAAGGCTGGTTGAAGTTCGCGTTGGTCTTTTGCGACGACGGTCGGTTTATCATGGTTGACTTTTTGGGCTCTCTGGGAAGTGCCAATCCATGGGCTTTGTATGCACATGATTCTGGAGCTTTGTGTGACTTTCAAACAAATCGTCAATCATGGTACCGCTATTCAGCAATTTCTAGAGGAACATTTGACAACGCAGCACATAGTTCATTTTTCTCTCGGTTTAATGTTTTGCAGAGAAAGAGGTCGCGACACACGCATGACGAAATCCACCGCAGAATTCGAGAAGACGAGGAAACGACAAACACATGTCACCGTCAGGGTGGGTATTTAGAGAAAGACAGGAAGCGACAGACCCATCATGACATAACCTCCAGTTTTTGTTCCACAAAGAGGAGTAAAAGTGTGTTGGGAGAAGAAAATAGTCCACCACCCGTGAGATTTTTATACCTCCTCCCACCACCAGAGGAGACCAACAGAACCAAGAAAAGAAACGTCCGCGTTTTCGCAAGTGGGAGAAAGGACACTGTCAGCCACACTCATATAAATAATCTGCCGGATTTTTGATACAGCGCCTTTATCCACCGGTGTGATTGCGAGAAGAGAGCCAAAAGGACACATGTGCTTGTTGCTGGCGTTTTTGAAAGAGCAACTTCCACTGCATCTGGCTCATGCCAGAGTTTTGTTGTATTTTAGATCCAGAACGACGACGGAGAAAACAGCCATGGTGTGATAGTAAATGGTATTCTAAGGGGAAGATACGAGCAAGCCACATAGTAGCTGTTAGTGGTGTTTTGGAGAAAAGAGCCAGCAGCACATGTGAGCTTTCACGCTGCATTTGGAGTTAAGAAGGAGACAGCACACCCATGGAATTACCAAGATTGGTTTTTAGTCTCACGCAGAGGAATGTGAGTGTATGAGGAGAAGAAGAGCGCAGTAATAGAGGTTTATATATGCGGGATGGGTGATTGCGCTAGGTCGAATACAGTGGGCGTGAGGAGGACGCTGACATATACTGGAGCCGATGACTGTTCGGTCTTTCCATAACGGAAATATAAGTAGCTTTTGGAGACCAGAAACACCCATGGCCAAACTCTCTCTGTTATTTTGGATAGGAAAGTCCAGTTCCAGCTGGCTCATCGGGAGTGGCTCCTGTTATGTTGAGTCAGGAAAGCCGAAGACACAGCCATCCGGGTAAGGAGTAGTGCTTTTAGAGGAAGAAAGGAGGACGCAGAACATTTTGCTGGCTCTTCGCAGTTTTGGTAGAAAAAGTCCAAGGTAGCTTTTGAGGAAGAAAGTAGAAACTCAAAGCTCGCTCATAGCTTACTTATATCCTCGTAGATTCGGATCTAGAAGAGGGAAGGAACAGTCATTTGACTTCGGTCAAGACATTTCTGGAGGAAGAACCAGAACATAGTCTCGGGGAAGACGATTTTTGATGTGCGCAGTAGAGGCGAAGGAGCCAGTCATTCATCTCGCAATTGGTGTTTTTGGACAAGCCCAGGGAAGGCGGAGGAGACAATCATGATTGATTGTTGTGACAATTTTTGGAAGAAGAGGCGGCACATAACAGGCGGACCTGGAACTTTGAATAAGTCCAGGGGAGACGGAGGCAGAGACAGCCATGTGTATTCCCCTCGCGGGTTTTGGAGGACGAAACAGCACATGCCCTAGACTTCCAGTTTTTTTAGATCGACCCAGAGAAGGCGGAAGGAACAGTCATTCTACAGTGCACTCCACGGTTTTTGGAGGAAGAAGCAGCACATGGCATGCACCACTGTGCTTTTTAGATACGGTCCAGAGAAGGCGGAAAGAACAGTCATTGAGAAGACCTTGAGGAATTTTGGAAGAAGAAGCGAGACATGTACTTCTGCCAAAGCCTTTTCGAGACCGATCCAGAGAAGGCGAGGAGGAACTGTCATTTGTTCACCGGGTTGTGATTTTGGAAGAAAGAAGGAGGACGCAGGACATGGCTGTGTTCAAGTCTTGGTTTTGGAGAAAGAGGAGGCAGCGCACCCATCGGGCGCCACGCCGTGATTTTTGGTCCTACAAAGGAGGAAGTGAGTAATGAAGGAAAGAAAGAGAGGGCTGCGAAGGGGGTATTTATATGCCGGGCGCGTGCTGGGACTAGGATCAAAAGTTATGGTATCTGGCATCGATGTCCATGGGACATCAAAAGTTGAAGACGCGAGATCATGTATTCGGCAAAACCGGCGGCAAATCCACCATCTCGTCTCTCATCTTCACATTCCCCAACCTAATCAACCCCACAACCCATTCTCACGATCCACTCTACCCCCCTACCACCCTAATTCCTACTCGGCACATCCAACCCCCTCACCCTCTTTCTATCCCCATCCCTCCCCTCCCTCTCATCCCCACTCCCCCCCTTCTCCTCAACCATAACCCCCCCATCACTACTCGTCCCACTCCCCCTCCTCCTCCCATCCGGACTCAAACTACTCCCGTCCCTCCTACTCGCTCTCTGCATCCTGGACGCAGCCGTCGGATCCGCATCCGCAAGCGCAACCGGCGTAGCCACCCTCGCCAACTGCGCCACAGCACCAAGTTTCTTATCCGATATCTCTTGCGACGTAGTGTTGGCAGTGTTGGCGGTGGTAGTAAGCATACACGACGCCACTTCGCTCCTTACAGAGCTCCTGCTGCTGGAGCGCTGGGAGGAAGATGAGGGGATTGGTTTGTTGTCGTGGTGGGAGGAGGATGGATGCTGCGGGATAGGCATGACGGCCAATTCACCCAACCAGCGTCTCGCCAACGCCCTTCTGCATCGTCCGACGACACCGAAATCCTCTCCATCACCAGTCGCACTCCCACTACCATCAACATTCCTCCCGGGCCTAACCTTCTCCTCGCCAAACCACCGCGTGATGAGGCGCCATTTGAAGCCAGCCCACCACCCCACAGGCACAACATCATCGCGCGGCCCACTGCGACTCCACAGGCTGGGCTGCGCAGTAGCAAGTTCATGGTACAGCGCCTCGTAGACGCCTCTCCGCATGGGGTTCTGACGCTGCGTCGCGAGATTGTGTTTTACGCCGTACCAGAGGATGAGGACGATGACGAGCACGGGGATGGAGACTATGAACCACCATTTTAGGGGTGGGTTTTCGGAGAAGGTGGAGACGTTCATGCCGAAGAAACCGACTGTGAAGGTTAGGGGGAGGAAACTGGGGTGGGTGTGTTAGTTTCTTGACAGAGGTAGATGGTTGAGAGGGGAGGAGGGAAGGAGGACGTACATGAATGTTATCCAACTCAGACGCCACATACTCAGGCCTAATTGTAAAGAGTGTCGCGCATCCCTAATACCTACACTCTTGTACATGAGATCTGATAGAGCGGTCGTGGGGAGGATGACATCTCTTTCCCACTGCCCGGTCAACTTGTCGAGTTCGTCTGGTACGGACCCTAGCCAGGGCTGGTCTGAAGATTCTTTTGGATCGGCACCAGCTAGGTCGTGGAGATGCGTGACCATTTCCTTGATTACGTCGACGTGGATGTATATGAGGCGTTCGACCTTGAGCCATTGTGCGCTGTTTTTCCAGAGCTCGGGGGCGCGGGATTCGTCGGCGGGGTTCTCATAGACTGGGTGGAATAGTGGTCAGTATAGTTCCTTGTGAGCGGTAGGTGGAGGTGAATGCTCACTCTTGTCTTCCAGAATCCCAACATGTGTCTCGCAAACAGCCAGGAACTTCTGCCAATTATAACTCAACGCTTTGAACACGTCCTGCAATATGAAATCCATACACTCCGCCGTCAGCGTCTCATCGTTTTCCTCCATGGGCAAGTAGAAGGATAGTCGTCTCCAACGAGACTCGAGTTCTTGTCGCGCGCCGATAAGGGTATCTTTGACGGAGCCTGTGACCGAGTTCTCAAAAAGAATGATTGTGTTTCCGTTGTCGAGAGACCGGAGCTTGGGGATGTAACGTTCCTGGTGCTCATTCGCATCTACGTTGCCGTAACTCTTCTTCAACCGCATGTACTCTTCCCACGCTTCCTCGTCGTATGGGTTCGGTATATCGGGGTCGACGGCTTGCCCTGGGGTTCCGTCGCTGAGTTGAACGTAACAGCTCAAGCGCTGCACATATACGTCGTGTCCATATCGAGGCTGATCCGTCTCGTCGTAATGATTGAGCTCCATTATGGATTTGTTATTATTCGGCCGAGGAATGTGCGTATTCCTATCGTAGGACTTGAGGTAATCGGCTCCAAAGGCAGCGCGCGAGATGCCGCGCCAGGGATCGCGTTGAGCGCGGAATGTACGGCCATTAAGGACAGGTTTGCCGCCGCGTTGTTGAGGCTTCTCGTAGCTGGCCCAGCGACCGAAGTTTGTGCCTACCAGATCGTCCGTGGCGTCGATGTTGAACTTGCGGAGCAGGTAGCGTGTCGCCCAGCTGGCGTTTTGGACGTGGATCACGCGCAATGCTGCTTGCGCTGAGAGATCCTCTTTGCGGTAGAACCGGCGCAGACTGTCGATGTCGGAGAACTCCTGTGCCACGATCTTCCGCCTGCCCTCCGCTGAGTGTTCCTTTGCTACATAATCGATGAGCAGCACGCGGCCCTGTGACCAGCTCTCCTTTGTCCATGGTTGCCGCCATTCGAGATTCGGACTGTGCTTGCGACGGTGGCCAAACGTGCCTTTCGGAGGTTCTCGGTGCCGTAAATGTGACTGTTGGTGTTCGTGGGAGTAAGGCGTAGACGTGGTAAAGGCTCGAGGGGCTGTTCTAAACGTTAGCTAGGGATCCTGACAGCCAGCAAGCGCGACATCTGCCAGCGCAACGCCAACCTGGTAACTTTCAGGGACCAATGGGTATCATGGTCCACGCTATCATAGCTCTTCTTTACCACGTCTCTTCTCCCTATCCTCTCCTCTTCTTTCTCTTCTCTTCCTGGGGAAACTCACCATTCACACCCTCCATCTCAGGACTCGGCAGCGGCCCTTCTCCCGTCGCCGTATCCTCAACCGTAATCGGCGGCGGAGTATTAGACATTCCCCTCCTCATACTAGCCATGATATGCCAGATATGCGATCAGGTGTTCAAAGCTTGCTGAAGCGCGAGTCGCATTCAAGAACGATCGTCTGTTCAAGGATCGCCAACGAACTCGCGAGAGTACAACCGCGTACGACGAACAAACAGGACGGTTGGCGGAAACAAGGCGCACATAGGTGATGTGATGTGATGTGCGATCGCGGAGGCGATATGTCACGGTGGGTGGTAGTGGAGTGCCATGATGGTGGCCTAATCCCGTGTGTGGTGCTGCGCTCAGAGGGAGGTCATGCCGTGCTGCCGTGGGTGGGTATGTTGTGGCTGATGCGATCATGAGGCTGAGATGGGAGACTACCAACGGCGCTGGGACGCGATGGGGGGTCATGGGGCAGGGGGAATTTGTAAATGGCGAAACCTCTTCATTTCCTCCATCGACCAGTATTCTTGAGGAGGACAGTGTATTACCATCATGGAGACCCAACCCATGTGCGCAGTGCCGAAAGGAAAGTAAGGCGTCTGTGGATATGTTGTGGCTGATGGGTCTGGGGTTCGCGTCGCGTGAACACTTAGTGCCCGCACTAGAGGGCAGAGTCAGCCTTACAGATACGGGATGACAAAAACACAACGAGACACATGCACAAAACATGTCGACCGATTACGTTATTATTAGTATCCACGATCTAGCGCAATGCAGTGGAAATGCATACAAAAGCTTCGTGCCATACATATCTCGACATATATTAATACGCTTCAAACGATATCATGTACCTCAATCCGGCACACATCTTGATTAGATTCTAAGGTAACTAGACAGTAGACTACGAGTTCCATATGGCAACTCATTTATATGCTCAAAAAACAAACAGCGAGGTGGTATGATATGATAATAAAGGTCGTAATATCGTGTCGGGTTGATGCATTCGCGCCAGAACCAATTAGCGCCGAGATGTTGGATGGGGTATTAGCAAAGAGGGAAATGGAGAGACAAAGACAATACAAGGAAAACCCTCGGCATGAGAAGTTCCACTTTGCTCGCTCGCTCGCTCGCTCAAACGCCGTCAAGTACGATGGTAGGGAGGAGAAAAGCAAGAGGGAGGGGGGGTATCTAATCATTCACATTGGCGGCTGCGTCTCGTGATTTCCTCGTCACTGAGGGCAGCGAGCCAGAGACATTTGCTGAGGACGTGAGGTTCGACGTTGAAGGTGTATTTGGAGCTGGCTTCGAGGAGGCGAAGGAGGTTCTTGACGATGGTGGCGGCGGTGTGGTGGCGGTCAAAGTTGACGAGGCGTTCGCCGTCGGCGGGTGGGGCGTCGATGAAGGCGGGCTTTTGGGCGTTGTAGATGAGGTCACGGGTGTAAACGCCTGGTGGTTTGTTAGCTTTTGGAAAGGCGACTGTTGGAGCACGTTACTCACCGATGAATGGAATGCAACCGTCGTCTACAGTTGCTGTTTCCATTTCGAGCCGCAGGTTATGGAAGTTCTTCAGCGGTTGAACAAGCGCTTCCAACTCTGTCATGACCAGCACCTCGGCTGCGGGAACCAAAGCCCATGTCTTCTTGAGGCTTGATACATCGTTCGATATCAGGGCGATCGCGATCTGGTACATGGTAGCATAGTTGCGGTATCGTCGCGCGTGGGTTGCGATGTGAATAAACTTGGTGATGCATCGCGCACGCTCATGAATATCCTCGGTGAGCAGGACCTCGGATACAACCCATTTGACAACAAGGTTGAATCGCGCAATGACGACATCCACGCCTCTGGCCTCTTCCGTTCGGAGATATTGTACCCAGTCGCGGATCTGCGGGGAGGACTGCTTCCAGCGCAACTCGATAAGTTCCTTCCAATCAATCTCGTCCAATGCGTCCTTTTCAACAATGGTAAACTGCTGAGCGAGGACTTCGGAGTCATGGGCCAAGATGAAAGGCAAATGTGCAGTCCGAGTCGGAGCTGCACTCTGCTGAGGACCTTCTAGATCAGCGGGAGACTCAGCAAGCTGCACAGGCTGTGTGGACGGCTGCTGGTTCGCGCGAGAGACGGTCGGGGTAAGGCCTGGTGTTGGCAGCCCTCGGTCGAACACTGTTGAGCTAGGTAACTCGTCGTTCAATCGGTTACCCGTTAGAGGCGGTGTTGGAGGGTGGCGCATAGGATGCGTGAGATTGTCAGGGTCGTCCTCAGGTGTTGCCGGCTCGTCGTCGAAGAAACTCCTCACGCCGTGACTGTCACGACCTGACTTCGCTCCTCCAGCAGAACTCCTGTCACTGAGATCCTCGTCTTCGTCAAGCAAGAACGATTCGCGCGGGTAGGCTGTACTTGGAAACGTGCCACCCGGCGGTATTTGCTTCATGCTCTCTGTTTCAACGACGTAGTCAATAGAGGATTCCATCGACGAAGATGTTCCCGGTGGGCCTTCAGAGTGTGGCGAGACACTAGCGAAATGCAGAGGAGACGGTTTGGCGGAAGACCTCATGGTATCAAGCGTATGTCCTCGCTGGGGGGTTTCAATCTGACTCAAGCCCCGGTCTAGAAGAGGTATTGAGGAATACGAGTCGGTCGACTCCCCAACAGACTGAACCGCAGGTACACGGCGGTTGAAGTTCTCAGCGGAGAGGCGGTACATTTCTTGTCCGTCTGTTTCTGGAGGAGCCAGTGGACGGTGGAAGACGTCGTCGGTTTCGGGACGCCCTCCCTGGTCGAAGGTATCAGCTCGTGCGCGTTGTTGATCAGCGCCTGTCGGGCGGTAGTAGTCTAGCTCAACAGTAGTCCGTTGGGAGGGAATGCTGGGCGATTTCTTCTCGTAACGGCCCTCCAGCTTCATCAGAGCCGACTCGACACCACCTTCGTCGTCCGTATCGTCAGGAAGAGCAGCAAGCTTTGCTACTTCGGCTTCGAAGGACGGTCTTAAATTGGGCTGCGAAGAGTGTGTATCTACTAGTGAGATGGGCTTCTTTGGGACCTCAGCTTCGGCTGGCCCTTCTGTGACGGGCTGGGCTTCTGCTTCTGGGTCGTTGAAACGATCGGATCGTAGAATAACCGAGTTTGTGACCGAATGCGTGTGGTTAGAGACTGAGCCGGTAGAGTGTGGGCGTTGCGATAGTTCGAGATCATGGATGTTTCCTGCAGCGCGAAGGTCGCCACCCGGACGCCTACGAAGCTGGCGTCCGGGCCCGCTAGCATCAGGCGCTGGCTGGCGGTCGAGGAAGAAGGGATCGTTATCTGATGACATGGTCTGGAATGTAGCAATACTCGCGGGTCCTTGACGTCTGCTAAGCACGCTGTTGTATGATGCATGTCGGCGGAGAGAGCCTGCCCGCGCTAGGGAGTTCTTGGCCGACCCCCGGCGTCGGAAGGAGTGCATCCTTTCTGGGCCCGCAGAGATAGACCTCCTTGTTTGTCTGGTGGTGGGTCGTCTTGTCGACATTCGCGAATAGCGGTGCTCTTCTGTTGCTGTTGCTGGGCGAGGCTCTGGATCGTCGTAGAGCTCAGAATGCCTTACTGGGGCAACGGGCTCACTAGCCAATTGCTCATTATTTGCCTCTTCTTGCTGATGACTGTCCAGCTTTGTTGCTACCTTATCGAGATCGGGTACCAGGGTGTCCGATATGACGGGCACGGGCGGTGGCCCGGTGTCATCAATGATCACTATCGACTTGCTGCCGCTGGTGATGGCGCTGTGTACGCGAGGGTCTTGTGCTTTCTGGCGCTCCTGCCGGGTTGGAGTACCACGCCTGTCGAACTCAAACTCGAATCCACCGAGATCAGGGGGCTCAAGACCATGTTCCTGACTTTCACTTTCAAGTTGCTCTTGGACAGCCGCTCTAAAACTCTCTGCAACTGCGGCGGCGAGGACATCAATGCGCACTTGGGGCTTTGGTCGAGTGGGACGTCGCTTGTGTACGCCTCCTGAGATAGAGACGGAAGACATGGCGCCCGGATTGGAGGCTCGCACGTATGGCGGCTGCCGTTGTTGCCCAACGCTACCTAATTGAGGGCTTGGACTCATTTGCTGCCGGGTGCTTAACGCGCGGCGTACACTGCCGAAGATCTTCTTCATGCCTGGGGAAGTCGCATGCCCGGGTCTCTGGAATTCGTTCGCTTCTGCATCTTCGATGTCGTGCAGATACTGAGACCGTGAAGGGCGTAGAGCTCTGACCTCGAAATATGGAGAGCTGGGCTGGAAGAGTCCACCACGTACTAGTGTGCCGGGCATGTTCGTGACAGCAGACATGGCAAAATCTGCGGGTGCGTTTTTGGGAATGGATAGTGGCGCCCTGCTGTCTCGAAGAGCATCGGTAAAGCTGCCGCTGCGCTTGTGGCCATGCGATGGGCGGTGAGCGTTCTTGATGGATGCTGGTTGTTGTGGACTAGCTGTCAGGCGAGCGGTGCCTGTGGGAGCTGGGTTGGTGACTGGTACTGGGTGGGGGTACAGGGGAAGCTCGACGGCCTGATCGTGTTTGTGCCGCATGGGTATTGAACATGATAGTACGTGCATGCTCTGCTCACTGGCGGGCGATAGGGGTATCTGGTGGTTCTCGTATTCTTGCGAAATGTAAGGCGAGCTCATGGAGTTCTGCGGCGTGTGCCGTGCTCTCTGCGCCCAGTCCATATGCCGGCTGGCAAAGTGGTCGCTTGGATTTGAGCCGATGGTCTCCTTTGTGTCCCGGATGTTGGCTCGTGGAGGAGTCGAGGGCAATGGAATTGGTGGTGGAGGCTCTTCGTATGCTGCCTGCGATCCATCGTGTCCGCCCGGGAGCAATTCGTCGTCCGCAAAGTTCTGGCCAATGTGGTCTTCCATCTCCCAGTATAATGCGCACGTCCGCCTCCAGCACTTCTTCAATTCCCCGACAATCTTAATGTCACCCCCACCTCCATCTTCTCGGTTCCGGAGATCGTTGTACAGACTGTTGACAAGGTCGCAGAAGTTGGTTCGTAGGGAGTAGAAGGGCATGAAGTCGTCGACGAAGTAGTTCAGGATCCAATGGCGGAGGGCTACGAAGGTGCGTACACGGACAATGCGCCCAAAGTCGTCTTGGCGGTCGACGGCCCATCGTAGGCGGGAGATGAGGTATGCGACGAGGTCTCGGGTGCAGAGGAAGGCGCGGAAAGTAAGGAAGAAGTCGGAGAGGAGTTCGTAATCCAGGAAGCTGGGAGAAGTGATGTGCGCAACGAGTCGTGAAGGGGTGGCTGCGAGGATGTCGCCGTCGGCGTTGAAGCGCACAACAGCGCGGTCGTCGGGGTTGGTGGTGAGGGCGTCGTAGAGCCGGGGGCTAATAGGCATGTGGGAGACGCGCGCTGAAGAGGGACCAGAAGGGGGCATTGGCGGGCGGTCCATAGTGGCGCGGAAGCGGTGGGGGACGGGCGAGTAGGCGTCTGATCGAGGGCGCGACGACAGGAACGACTGCCGCACCCCTCGCTGTGGGGTCAGGAGCGAGTTCGCAAAGTCGTCGGCGCCTGAGGTTCGGGTGTAGACCGAGGAGCGCAGGTCGGCGGTCCCCCGTGTGCTGAAACGCGGAGTGCCCAAGCGGTAATGCGGTATGGGGACCTGCAGCAGCGGGAACGACGTGTCTGCCGTCTTGGGGCGCATGTGCGACGGGCGCTCAATCACCACCTTGAAGGTGCCCGGCTCGTGGCTGAGCGTCGTGGCCGTGTGGTCGTCGACGGTGGAGAACGAGTGCGAGCGCGCGTGTGCGAGTGGGCGTCCAGCGGAATCGGCCTGGGAGTGCTGCTGGAAGGCATTGCCCTCGCTCAGGTCCGGTAGCGGCGGTGTGGGTTCCGAATGGGGTGTTCGCGAGCCGTAGAGACTCTGCTCCCACTCATTGCTCAGCGGGCGGAGTTTGTCGAGTGTTGCGCTGTCGGGCGGCGTCTGGGGCGGGAAGACGAAGGGGTCTGGTTGACGGCCTCGCTGGTTTCCAGGACGGGCTACAGGTCTGGGGGTGTCAGTCTACGAATCTACGGATGGTTGGTGTTGAGGTTGGTCAGGCATGGGATCATGTGAGGCATGACGTGCGCCTTCCTCGCGGGCTGCGTCCACTGGTCGCTCTTTCCTCATGTTCATGATGTTTACTGGTGGCTGTAGAACATCAACACCAATCTCGACGTACCTCAGGTATATGACGCCGTTGTGGACGTTCGCAACCGTGTAGCTGCGGCCGGCCGAGGTCGAGTTGCTCGTCGTCGTGTCGATGGTGGCGTTGCTGGTGCCGCGTGCTCTCGTCCTCCTCTTGAGCTGCTCCCTCGAGTCCTTCACCCTCCGCAGGCGGCGCGAATCATCAGCGCGCCTTTTTGCCGTGTCTGAGCCTGCACCTGCACCCGCACCGGGCCAAATGTCGCGTTTCCCTTCAGCAGGGGAGCCTGGCGCAGGGAAGACATTGTGTTGCATTGCCGGTAGGGCCATCCTCCCCCATAGCACTTCAGCTCAGCGGGTACATATGTGTAGTTGTCATCGACGACTCGGACTGTGCAGACGTCTTAATTACAAGTAGCAAGAGAAAGCCGACTAGAGTTGATTCATGTGCAGCCCTGTCACATCGCCCAGCGCGCGCCATAGCAAGGCCATTCACCAGTCAGCGCCCGTGTCGCTTGGGCTGAACGCCGCCTGCATTGACCCAGGCCTGGCCGGGCTAATCTGACCTCGCTTCACTCCGTTGCTCCGCCTGGTGAACAGGGAAGGCCAAGTGATTACAGGTTTGCCCGTCTGCTTGCATCGCCGCGCACGCACTCGAACCCGCTCCAATGCAGCTGCGAACTGCTTTTTCGCTGCCCCTCGGTCCCCGTCCTGCGAACGGCCGCCACGCGCCTCTGCCTGACACCCAAAGCCACTACTGCCATGCTACTGCGATATTACGTCGGCTGCCGGGCGATAAGCTTCCAGCCACGTGAATATAAGGTTCCTCCCACTTGCTATCCCCGTGATCCCGAGGTCATTGATCGAGGTTGATCGAGGTCTACCCGCCTTGATAGTCGTTGTGCAACGGCCTCCAACCCCCGTGGCCGCACAAGATTGCCAAAACAACAACGCATAGGACAATCAATAAACACATCATTCGCCCTGCGCTCCTGTACCAGGGTTCTGCCGTTTCCAGGCGACCACGCATCCATCCAGTGCCGCGATCTGCCACTGCATCGGTACTTTCTCCTCCCTGGCGATCCAACGCCGCCATTGGCCACCCTCATCATCTCGCTAAACAAGTGTTTCCATCCATCGCAATCCCTTAGCATCCTGCAAACACCAAGGCGGCTCATCTCCGACCCTGCGCAACGTCATCAACACCCCTCTTATGAAACAGGGCTCCCTTCAACAGATGCTGCCGTAATCTTACGCATCCACACTGACTACACAGGATTTTAACGTCCAACGTCCAAGCTGACTCGACGCGCATTGTCACGTACATTATCTCTGCCCGTTGCGTCAGGCTGCAATCCCACAAGCGCACTATAGTAACACCCCGGATGCCCATCAAACCGCGAGCTACTGCACGACATCAACCATGGTACCACCTGTCAAGTCGTGCATCTGGCCTCCACCGCTTGACACCTGTAAGAATACACAGACGCCCACACACTAATCCCACCTTACAGCAAAACCTGCGCCGGTACATCTAGCTCGTGCCGACCTAAGCCGAGCACACCACCCAAAGCACTTGAAAGCCATATGCAGCAGATACGACAGTAGTGGAGTGCGTTTTCGCAGACCGAAGAACTGCCTGATGCACAGCACAATTTTCTATATTCGGCACGACCTGCAGACTCTCCGACTTCGCCTCGTTATTATCCGGCCCGAATGGCGGAGCAAAAGGGACGAGCCTAAGCTAATCACCCTGAGATTTTCGATACGAACGCGTGAATGGACAGGATGGTAGATCTGCGGTGCATATCACATGTACCGAGATCGGTGAAGATGTGTCGTGAAGGGCAAGATCGTTGTCCGACAATATTTCGCATCTCCTTCCGCAAATCTCAAAGAGTGCTTGTGCAAATACACCGACGACTTGGATATTCAATACAATGTGTTGCCTATCCAAACCCAATAAATAAGAAATAAGAACTACAGCAGCCTCGAAGCACACGAAAGCCTTCACATTATCAAGACACAAGACAACCCGCATCACATACCCCCAGCCTACCCCCCATCCAAAAACCCGGTTCATGCTTCAAATCAAAAGGGATACCCCCTCACCCCCTCTTCAGCCCCAACATCCAACCCCGCCTCCACCTGCTCCTGATGTCTCCTATCTAGATACTCCAACAGCACATCCCCATACATCTCCTTCCCCTTGTACCGACTCACATCGTCCCCCCAAGAACGGATCGCACTGGCCAGTCTACCCGGTACGTAGGGCTCCTGTGCGATCTCCGTAATGGGGTGGAAGTAGGTCCGGATTGTGAAGACTACGCCGCCGGATTTGGGGAGGCTGGTCGTGGTTGTCAGTGTTAGAAAGGGGAGAACGTTGACTACACCGTCGTCGTGAAAGAACGAAATTTTATGGAACAGGTACAAACATCTCGTGCCAGAAAATCGGAAATTTGAAAAACAAAGCGGGATACACAACAGTAAAAATGGAGATGCACAAACATACCGTCTCAAACTCTGCCTCTCACTCCTAAACCAATGATGCTCAACCGCTTTATTCTTCTCCGCTGTAAACCACCCAACACCCCCCTCTTCTTCTGTGGTATCTTCAGGTCCTATACTAGAGCTCCACGCGAGGTTGTCGTCGACTTGGATAAAGTAGTTGTTTCGCAAAACGGGGGATTGCGGTTGGATGCGCCGGAAGAAGTTGGACATTGGCTTTTCGAGCTTGGTTTTGAAACTGGTGTTAGTGGGTTAGTGCATCGTGCGTTGACGGAGGGAGGAAGTGGATGGATTGTGTGGAGAGGGTTGGAGGTGAATGGATTGGATTAGATCGGAGAGGGGATAGATTAGAGATGCAGTGTCCAGAAAAGGGAAGAGACAAAAGACAACATACCCAGGCACATCCCCACTAGTATGAATAGTAGACAGCGGCATCCCAAACTTATCCTCCAACCTCCAAAACCCCGCCAGTAGAATTGCCCCAGCAAGTAAATAATACTGTCCATCCTCCTTCTCTACCATGATCGCAAGATCGTCTTGAACCAACCTCGCACACAACGCCATCGCATCTTCCTTCACGCCATTCCTTTCTAGTCTTGCGATGTCGAAGATCTCGCCCGTGGCTAGATTCTGAATCTTTCTCGCGGCCTTCTCTTCACCCATCTTTTCACTATGACTTATCTTCTGGAAGACGGTGGGATAACGTTGTGGTAGGTAGAAGCATAGTTCCTCGAGTAACTCCACCACCGCAGCCCTCGCTTCCGGAGCTGTTTTAACACATTTCCCTCCTCGCTCTTCTATCCTCTCCGCCTTCAACCTATGAAACTCCATATACTGATTATCCAGCTCAATCCATTCATCCCACTGCATATTCCTCAGTCCCATCGTGATGTTGTACTTCGGGCCGTGGCGAAACGGTCGATACGGTAACGGTTTCGTGGTGCTTAGGTCGAAAGAGGGATAAGGCGTTGCTGGGGGGCGGGTGAAGTCTGAGGGAAGCCATACGCCTGGAGGCCGGTCTGGGGCTTTGAACGGGGAGCGCTTTTCGAGGTTGGGGGTGCTGGGACGGGAGGAAGTGAGGCGGCGGGCGCGAATTAAGTTGGTGACGGCGATGGTGAAGTATGTGAATGCGGCGAAGAGGAGGAGGGAGTAGAGTGCTGCTTTGGGTTGGATATCAGTCTGTTTGAGGACGTTGTTAAGGCGGGTTTGAGCGTTGGTGCAGTGCTGTTGTATGTCACGTGCAAGACGTCTGGCATGTTCGTCCAGGTCGGTGATAAGAGCAGCCATGATGAACACCAAGTAACAGGACTACTACTACAAAGTCCAAGTACGAAAAAGAGAGGACGCCACGTCCATAGTATAAGTAGTCACAAACAAAACAGCACAGTACCCAATAACCATGCACATCATGCGCGACATGTAAACCGACTTCCTATTAATTCTTCTGCGATATATACAAGCCAATGATCTTCTGCGATAACGACCCTAGACACTGTGGGGTCGGAGCGACATGTGTCGTCAGTAGCTGGTTATCTCGTCTGGGCGGGGAAAGGAATACCCCACTCGGTTAGACCTGGTGTCCCTCGATGCTTGTCTCGATAACAGGGATGGACGTCCGAACAATCTGCCTGCGATGTGGTCTGGGGGCGCAACAATTCCGCAACGCGTTTGGAGGAGTTGCACCGTGATGCCGTGGGGAAGAGGAGTTGGAGTTGGATTTGATCTTGTCTGGCTGGAGTGAGTCCGGATTTACCCCCACTTTGTGTCTGACGACTAGGACTTGTATTGATATGTGTGTACTATGCGCCTTTTGGATCTTTGCGCTGTAGCAAGCAGTAGTCGCCCCATTGGCGACGGAACTTGGCGGGGATGATGGATAGGTCTGGGACCCAGAGCATGCGACTGATGGTGTGGGTCTTGCTTGCGTCTAGGAAAGGAAGACATTTCAACGCTTTCCAGTGTTCTGTGTCGGAAATGTAGTCCAGCTCGAGCGCTGTTGGTGGGGCGCCAGCAGAGCGAGTATCAACGATGAAGTCGCACTGCTCGAGATCGGTCTGTTTCGTCAGGTTAGTGAGATCCACGTCTTCATTCCCTAGTTCACATACATATTTGCTGAGATCTTCTAGGTTCTCATCGTTCATTCCAGATGGTATAAGCCAGGTGCCGGGGAATAGTCCAAGACTGGCGTCGGCTTCGCTGAACTCGCCTGGGAGGAGACCAGAGAATTCGCTCTTGATGAACTTGGCGCGCACACCTTGGGGTAGGTTGAAGGAGGATGGGAAGCGATACCACTCTTTGCCTAGACATACGGTATCACCTGGGTGGGAGACTGTGGAGTCGAACAATGGCTTGTACACGTTGAGTGGCGCCGAGTAGGCGGACATGTGACCTGAAATGTGTTAAAGATCAATTCAAGGTTCTGCCAAAGGCACTAGTGCTTGTTGATCGATGGTATGTGAGGTGATACATACCATGAATTCTAAGGATGCCCAGATTCAAGGACACGAGTATGGGAATACAAACGATGACGAGCTTCACCATTGGAGGTATTTTGCTCACTAGATGCCGTGGATCCATCGAACCAAAGTTGGCTAACAAGATGTGCAAGGAGAGGGCTGCATTCCAGGCTAGTGCAGGATAGGCTGGGTACATGAACCGCTCTTCTTTATGAGGCTGGACGGTAAATATCGCCAACCACAAGTAGAATGGGCTGACAAAGGTGATGGACCTCGTGAGCGTATTCCGATAAACAGCTCTGTCAAAAACGACATACTGGATCAGCAGCAGCGGGAGAGCAGCCAGCGCGAGGAAGAACCAGATGTTGAAGTTGAGCGCTAGATTTCGAACGTAGAAATGCCACGGCTCTACACCGTAGATATCAGGGCCTCTACTACCACCGCTGAAAACATTGTATAGTACGATGTTGAGCGGCACGCAGACCAGCTTCCTGTAGAACAGCGAATCAATGGCGGTCTGCAAGATTACAATAGCGAAGGCTCTAGGTGCGCCTTGGAGTAGTATGCGACGCAGACTCTCTTTGATGGTGCCGGTGAACACGCCCGCGATGAAATCTTCCGCAATAAAGGGAAGGGCGAGCGCGCCTGCAAAGGGCCAGCCCAAAGCACTGCCGACGGCGAACCACGCAATACCTTGTGCAGTCCTCATCTTACGCCGGGACCAGTCCATGAACGACGCAAATCCAAGCATAGCACAATTCATGGCGAAACTCGACGGCAGATATGCAGGGGCAGCGTGATACATACCGGGGCTTATGACCATGATCATGGCGAAGAAAGACGCAACGCGCACCTCGAACATCTTCTTGATAGCCGTGTACATGCGAGACTGGCATCCTGCGCAGACTATGGCTAGGACCGCTCGCAAGAAGTAGAACTCGAACACCTTGGATCTTTCTAAGCCTAGCGCCTGCAGAGGCAGCGTAGCGAGTCCTATTACGAGCGAGTGTATAGCAGTGTAGGCCCAGCTTCGGATGGCATAGTCAGGAGAGTACTCCCAGGTCTGGAGGCCGTAGCCATGGTTGAGGTAGTGGCTTGGTTCCCAGTAGTTGAAGACTTCGTCGCAGTCTTGGATCGGCGAGAGGGCGGCGGCGGTGAGATTGGCTAGGGCGAACACGCAGAAGATGTTGAGCGTGGAGAGATGGGGTGGTGTACTGGACACATGATGCATACGTTAGCCCGTGATCGAGTGGAATACTTGGGGATTATGGCATGGCGCATGATACTCACTCAGGGGCTGAATGCGCCGTCTTCGGGCGCGATGTAGACATGTCAGCGACAATAATTGCAGAACGTGACGGCAACCCCCATCGAATTACCTAGGTACGGAGTATGGTCACTTCACAGAATGACGCGGTGGGTCTCGCGGTCATAGGGCTGAGCTGCGCGTGCCCGCCAAGCTTGTTAGCGCGCATCCAAAAAGGCGACGTTCTTCCCTGAAGCGCTCCTTTCAACCAGAACTATCATCGCACGCATTTAAGCAAACTGGTGCAGACAACGCAGTGGATAACTCAGCCATCACGCGTGCTTCAGAGAAGACTGCAGAGAGAGACACGAGCAATGTCCGACTCTCTGGAACCACCGGCCAAAAGGGCGCGGTTGGAGGCGGACGCTCCCTTTTATGGCACATCTACATCTGCATCTGCGCTCGACGCGCCGGGCTCGCCTGTCGATGACATGGACGACGACTTTTACGACACTACGCCCGTCAAGCCCTCTGCGCTGCCCTCACAGGCGGACGGAGCGACGTCGTTGTTGGCGACGGCGGCACCCGCGCCGGCCTTTCACCTTCCTGGACTCGGCTCTGTGAGCGAGACCCCGGCCGCGCAGTCGCAGTCGCAACCACAGAACGGCGCAGTCGTCCCAGACGACGCCCCGGAGGACGGCGAGCTCTCGGATGACGAGGCCTTCTACAATGATGCGAGCCCGCAGGCCGCCATCCCAGTCGAGCCGCCCGTAGCCAATCACGGCCAGGCGCAGGATGAGGCTCCACAGCTCCAGGCCGTCGCTGCTGCCGATACACCTGCTGCCGACACAGACGGCGAGCTCGACGCGGCCCTGACCGCCGCCATAGACCTCCAGAACGAGACTGAAGACACCACAAATGCTCCTGCCCCCGACGGCGCAGCGTTCGATAGCAAGGCCGAGTTCCTGCGCGCCGCCGAAGCCAACAGGGATGACCAGAGCGCCGAGTGGCAGCTCGACTCAGATGCATCCGACTCAGACTCATCGTCCGACTCCTCCAGCTCGGACGACAGCTCCGATGAGGGCTCAGACGAGGGCGAGCTGCTCGACCCCGAGGAGCAGGTCCGTCTCCTGATGGCTGAGGCCGCCGACGAGCCAGGCGCGTCCGGCCCAGTCAAGGTCAAGACGCTCAATGAACAAGATGAGAAGTTCGAAATGCCCGACATCACAGTCACGCCGGAGACCAAGATCACAGAGCTCGGCAAGGTGGAGTCCATCGTCGGGAACCTCGTTGTTGTCAAGGCCAAGATGTCTGGCGACGAGCAAGTGCTCGAGTCTGGCTCGGCGCTGTGCCTCGAAAACCGCACGGTTGTCGGCAAAGTCTCCGAGCAGATCGGTCGCGTGGAGGAGCCGCGCTACTCCTTTGGCTTTAACGATGCCGCTGAACTCGAGACTCTAGGTATTAAGAAGGACGTACCCATCTACTACGTGGACGAGCACTCGACCTTCACCGAGACAGAGCCCATTCGCCGACAGAAGCACACCGACGCATCGAACCTCCACGACGAAGAGACCAACGACGTCGAGTTCTCAGACGACGAGAAGGAGGCCGAATACAAGCGCGAACAGAAGGCTAAGAAGCGAGCCAGGCAAGAAGGCAACGACGAGCCAGCGGCGCCTGTCAACATCCCAACCGGGCCCAGACTGCACGTCGACGCTCCCGCACCGCCCATCTACCGACCCATGGAATACCAGGGTGGTGGTCTGAAATACAGCGATGATGAAGACGAAGATCTCGGCATGTACAAGCCGCTCGCCAGACCAGATCACTTCGAGCAGATTGTTGGGCAAGGCGCACCATTAGAAGATCGCAGCCATGTCCGTAGGGGTATGGGTCGCGGCAGAGGTCCCTGGGGTGATCGAGGTCGCGGCTTCCGTGGCCGAGGAGGTGGTGGCGGTCGCGGTGACTTTGGTGGTGGACGCGGCGACAGAGGAGGCTTTGGCGGCGGACGTGGCGACTTCGGGGGTCGTGGTGGTGGAGGACAGCGAGGCGATCGAGGAGGCGGCAACAACCAGAACAACCGAGGCGGAGATAAGGGTGGACGTGGCGGCAAGAACCAATCTGACCGTGGCAGGCAACCAGAGCAGTTCCAAGATCGCCAACAAAACAACCAGAGGAACCAATACCAAGAGGGACGGTCCGCAACCTCGGCATCGCCAGCCCGCCAACAGCAAGATCGCAGCCAGTCTTACACCCAGCAGGACCGTGGCCAGTCTCAGCAAGCCCAATCCCAGCAATCGCCAGCCGGTGGTGGTGGGAAGAATAAGAACCGCAAACAACGGCAACGCGAAAAGAGGGAACGGGAACGCCAACAACAACAGCAGCAGCAGTCGCAGTCGCAACAGTCACAACAACCTCAAAAGCAGCAGCAGCAGCAGCAGCAGCAACATGCTTCTCCGGCACCTTCTGGACCATCAAATGCTAACGCTTATGCAAACAACAGCAACACAGGTTGGCCAGTGCCCTTCTCCGGCCCATCACAGCCAGCGCTCCCCTACGCTGCCGCACCTCCGCCTCCACCTCCAGCAACAGCAGCGGCCTACAACTACCAGCCATCGTACACTCCCCAACCTCAAGCGCCAGCTCCAGCACCAGCCCAGCCACCCCAGCAAAACCAAGCGGCCAATCTAGCAGCATGGGCACAGTGGTTCCAGGTCATGCAAACCATGAGCGGACAGCAACCACAACAACCGCAGATGTCAGCGCAAGCTCCTGCACCGCCACCACCGCAGCCTCAGCCACAAGCACAGTACTCTTACCCCTACCAGCAATATGCGCAGCCGGCTGCTCCCGCGAACCCGCCTCAACAGGGCAATGCTCAAGCTGGGGCGCAGCAGTCGCTTCAAGATATTCTGCGTGCTCTCCAGGGCGGTGGTGCTCCTCAGTAACTTTGACGCAGATGTTAACGGTTTATCGATTCGGATTAGGTGTTTTGTAAGATTATATATATATCGTTCCAGTATGAGTTGCATGTCACGTAGAAGCTGTCATCACTTACTATCCGTGAAGGTAGCTCCACGAAGCATGCAACTCTGGTATTGGGAACAAATCCCGGGATGCAGACAGGTCATAGGACTGCGTCACTACACAAAAGGGGATGTGAGATAGACTTGGCGTCGTACGAGCGTTAATGATTGCTTCTTATGCTATGAAGATGCTCTGAGTGGTCTGTTGTGAAATCGATGAGGCGAAAGCGACCCGGTCGCCGAAAGAAGCAGCGCTGAGTAGCATGTGATCACGTAGTGTACTGTACCCGTGGACACCTTCATAATCACTCATCAATGCTTGGGGTCTTGCTATGGATGCCAAGTTCGTGAGAGAGTGACCCGGTTGCCTGGCTGCCGGAAGAAGCATGTGCGAGTGGTAGCATGTGACTACAGTGCACACCTTCATGATCAGTCATCAATGCTCCAGGGGCATATGTGCTCGTAATGTAGAAATACTCTGGTCTGGTGCAAGCGCTATTGACTCCCTCAATGAAGAAGAGAATGCGCGATTAATATGGACTGGGGCCAATATGTTCATTGACGTCCTCCGCGGCGGTATACAGCATCACGTCAGCGTCTCGCGCAGCAAAGCGCAGTAGGCAAAAAAGTATAAATAAACGCATACACGCATACACACGAATGAACGCGTCGTTTAAATCCGTGGTGGTAGCACAACAGCGTCTACACGTCTGCCTGCTTTCGGGATATACGGCAAATAAGCTCCGGGGCTGCACAACCAACGAGAGTCTTTCGAGCGTATCGGAGAATAATGAAACAGGAATGTTTTTAGTATTAGTATTTGGACAGGCGAAAGTATGGGCAAGTGGCTCGGTTGTACGCCACAAATGTCGGATTCGCTTCTGAACCAAACTATTGATGATTTTAGTTCTGGGATGAAACACGGGTGTCGGTACTATGATGATGCGATGTTAATGATGTGGATGGTTAGGCAGAGATGGACAGGAGCAAGGGATGGCGATGATGATGATGACGGGGTAGTAGTCGTCGTCGTAGTCGTCGTCGTCGTAGTCGTCGTTGTCAAAGTGGTGGTGGTGGTGGTGGTGGTGGCTTCGGTTCCAAAAAGCGGGGGGTTCAAGCTCTCGGTGTTCGGTGCACCGGGGCCATAACCTAACCTAACCTAACCCCAGCGGAACTGGAATCGGCATATGCTGCAGACAACGCGCGTAAGATGAAATGTAAGATGAAATGTAAGGTAAAATGTAAAAGCACGGCAACTGTAGTTCGCGATACCTAGCCATGACTGCATGCGGCGCGACGTCCGTGTCGTGGTTTAGGCCGGGGGGCATACGGAGAAGGATTGGTATGCTGGGAAGTCTAGGACGGGTGCTTGGTGGCTCGGTAGGCTCCGTGGGTGGGAGCTGGGTTAGTAGCGGAAGGGAAGGGTGAGGAGTGGGTTGGGGACGGTTGGTGTGGGCTGTGGGTGGCGCATTGTTGGCAGAGTGTGCCGCTCTCCATAGCGAAGTGGAATAGGTAGGGAGGAGGAGGTGGAGGTCTCATCTTTTGCACTGTCTAAAGCATACATGTCTCCGTCGTTGTCGAGGTGGCTGTATGCGGCCGTGCCGTCGTTCTGGGTTAGTGTTCTGGGTAGTGTTCTGGAGTATTGCTAGCACGGAGGCTCGGTAGGACCCCGTAGTGCTTGGTCGGTTCCAAGGTTGGAGTGGGTGCAGGTGGCGCATTGTTGGCAAAGCATGCCGCTCTCCATAGCAAAGTGGAGCCCCCATGCCTGTCTCCATCCGAAGTGTCAGTGAGGGTGTAGTCAGCCATTCTTCACAACCATATGCACCACCACGCACCATAGCCTGACGCTCTCCTCCACCTCCAGCTGTCTGTCTGCCGCCGCTAGACAGCCCGAGTCTCTCGCCCGCTCCGCCTCGCCTCGCCGCGCGCCTTGCCCTGCCCTGCCTTGCCCACTGCGCTGCCGACCGCCGCCCATGTTGCACACCTCGAGCTGCTGTCCCGCCTCGATGAAGTAGCCGTCCACGTCCACTCTGCGCAAGCAGTCCCCACCACCCCAGTCCGCCGCCGACGCGGGCCACTGCCGCGACTCACACCCTGCACGCCCCCGCCGCCATCATGACGAGGAACGAGACCATCGGCCGCCATGGTTCGGTAGAGAGCTCGTGGAGTTCGCGCTCGGGCGACACGATACGGCCCTATGGACGCGCGGGTTCGCTGAGGGGTACCCCCGTCACCGTCAAGACGGACAAGAACCTCAATTCCCGGTATGTTGTTGCGTCTGGTGCCGTGCGAGATGGACGCTGGCTGGGGTGGCGGCGCGCGCTGTGCGCCCTCGACCTTGACTCTGGCCTCGTCTCGTCTTGACGCGGGAAGAGACATGTTTTGCCTGTCTTGCCTGTCTCACGCCCACACGTGCATCGACATCGACAACCGAACGCCTGCTAACACGCCATAGTGTCGAGCGGGAATCCGAGATATCGCCTGGCACCGTCCCCCCAGCTCCGCCGCCCAAAGACAACCCCTCGCACCGCCCGCGCAAGCCTGCCAATTGGGACGCTCCCACGCCGAGCGCCTTTGGCCACCACCGAAAACAGCTGGCTGTCCTGGAGACTTCGGGAGGCCGAGTGCCGTCCATATCGCGCAACCCCCCCACCGCTTCGAGCGCCAATTCACAGGTCGCGCCCTGGTCCACCGCGCCCAACGGAAACAACATGACCAACAGCGTCTGGAGCAGCTTCTTCAACGACTCAAACGAGGATGTCTCCCAGTCGTCGCCTGGCTTCCGCCCGGGAACCGGCACCAGAGAGGACAGCATGGGCTTCCCCATGAAAGACGACAGACGGCCGTCGGTAGCTAGTGCCACGACCGTCAGCAGCACGGGTTCTAAGTCGAGCATGGGCCGGAATTTCCACAAACGCCTGCAGAACGTCTTCGGAGAGGACTTCCCCGCCGACGACCGCCAGAACTCGGATTCGAGCTTGGGCACGCCGCAGCGCAATCGCGGCAACTCCCTCAGCAACACAATTGGCAGTAAGCACCAGTCGCGCCCAACCTCGCCTACCAGCTCCCGGCCACGCACCCCGCAGGCGTCCTCGGAAGTCACGCCATGGGAGTTCCAAGACTCCAAGGTGAGTCTAGTTCACATCCAGAGGAAGGCACTGCGTCTCTCACTCATGCTCTTGCCCTACTACTCCACCGCCGACCTCGGACCTGTATCACTAACCCCTCACAGGACGTTCCCACTCCCGCTGAGTATGGCGGCCGTCGTTCCTCCGAGCAACATTCTGCCAAATCGGGTCGATCGCACCACAAGCTGCACGTAAGACTGCCTGGCACTGGCCACCGGCACAAGGGCAGCAAGGAGGACAACAAGGCCCCAGACGGACGCGCAGACATAAGCCAGCCTTACCCGCTGCGCCCCACCACCAGCCGCGAAGATTCCAGCTACAGCGTCCGACCGAACCAACCCTCGGCCCTCAGCTCCGCCTTCGCCTCCAAGACAAGCCTTCTGGGACGGCCGTCGAGCCCTACGCCAAGCTCATACTCGGATATGACAAGAGATGACAGGATAGCGCAACGGTCTCCCAGCACCAACAAGGCGTCGCACGGTTTCTTTGCGCGGTTGCGAGGCAAGGACAAGGACAAGGATCGCACGTTACCGGGAGATACCCTCAAGAGTCTGGTCGCTGCTGGAACTGCCTCCGCCACCTCTCTGAATCCTTCGATTAATACGACACGATCCGCGAGGCCAGAGCCGGCTCGGCAGGCTACCATGGCGAAACAGCAGGCGATCAACAATGGCGTTGAGAGCGCGGCCAAGGAACAGAGAATGCGGGCTCCTCACCACCGTTTGCCTACCTTCCGGAAAGAGAAGCGCGCAATTCCGAACGAGCCTACGGGACGGGACCCTAACGATAATATCGCTAGCACAGCAGGCAACGATGCTGTTTTCTTCCTGGACAGCAATCTCGACGACATGGAAGGCATTGTGAATCTTCAACAGGCACCGCCGATGACACCGCCTGTGGGTGAAGTGCCAAAGCAGCCACCGAACCTCGGTGAAGACATTTCCGTACCAGGACCCGATGACGACGGCACCGCGGCGTGGGACGCGCCAGACTCCTGGGCCGTGAAGCGCATGAAGGACGAGATGGACAAGCTGGGAGACGCCGACGAGACTACAACGCCTTCTAAGGAAGAGAGCGACAACAAGACGTATTGTCTGCGCATCTTCAGGGTCGATTCAACTTTTGCGACGCTATCAGCTACCTTGAACACGACCGTGCAGGAAATCATACAAATACTAGGGAAGAAGACCGTATTGCAGGACGAATTGGACAACTACCACATCGTGATGCGGAAACATGACACCTCACGGCAACTGGAAAGTAACGAGCGCCCGCTGCTGATCCAGAAGCGATTGTTGGAACTCGCCGGATACACGGATCTAGACCGCCTCGAAGACGTCGGACGGGAGGATAACAGCTACCTCTGCAGATTCACCTTCCTCCCTGCCAAGATGAGCGGATACTCGAGTCTGGAACGGGATCCTGGTTTCAGCAAGATGCAAAAGTTCAGTCACATTGATCTCCAAGGTCGGAATCTGATCACCATCCCTATTACACTCTACCAAAAAGCGACTGAGATAATATCGCTCAACCTGTCGCGCAACCTATCACTTGACGTACCTAGAGACTTTATCCTTGCTTGCACCAACCTGAGGGAGATCAAGTACACGAGCAATGACGCACGACGGCTCCCGCCCAGTCTGAGTCTTGCTAGCCGGCTGACCATGTTGGACATTTCAAACAACCGCCTTCAGTCTCTTGACCGTGCTGAATTGCACAAGCTGCAAAGTTTACAAGGTCTCCGACTCTCCAACAACGGGCTAACGCGACTGCCACACTACTTTGGACAATATC